CTCCCCCCCCCCCCCCCCACGCACACACACACACACGCACACACACACACACACACCTTTCCCATGGTATCTGCGATGTAATGGTTAGACTCTTCGCGTCCTCATCATAAAGTGCCAGATCTGCGACAGACATCGGCGATCATAGTTCTACATTCACCCCTTTGCTCGAATGTTTTCACAAAAGATACATTATCTTGATCTTTCCCCGTCGCCCATCTGTTTAGGTTCTTTCGCATACATTACTCAAAGCCTACCTCTGCCCGGTTTGCCTTCAATGTTCACTAAAGCTGGATATTCTTGGCCTTAACGTCTATATCAAGTGTCCCAGAAACTGCACTTGGTCTTTTCCCGAATGACTTTATCAACGAACGGCCCACGTGGGCTTTTTCAAGTACACGCACACGTACTGTCTCATTTACGTAATATTTTTTTTCCTTCCAAGAAATTCTCAGAAATCTCATCATATCACAGGCTTCACAGAAGACAAAAGTTCAAAACCCACGAGAGACTGTCTTGTGGTACATTGTGCCCCCCCCCCCCTACCCCCAAGCCTTGCTTTGGTCCTGAAAGACAAAGGTCGAAAAAGCTCGCCTCTTAAATGATCCAAGACATAAACATGGTGAAATGGTATAGGTTTAAGGCCCCTACCAACACTATTAGGTTATTTAAGAGGTGGGACCTCCGAGTTATCCGTTCATTTCCGGAAAGACCGAGCCAAGTGGGAAAATCGTGTAAAGTGTCTTTCCAACGGACACAACGTCGGACCGAGCTGAGGATCGAACCCTCGAACTCGCAATCTCACGATTATGAATCCGCTAGCCTAACCACTAAGCCACCGACGCCACCTTAAATCATATCACTAGCCTAACCACTAAGCCACCGACGCCACCTCTAAATCATATCAAAGAGGGCTAAACCAGTCTGTGCAATTATAAGTACAGTCTTAGTCCTAGTAAGTGTTGTTGTTTTTTTTAAAGTTTTAGTAAGAGATTTACGCACTTGCAACACAATAAGGTCATATAAGTGCCGAGGATTACAAATGTTACAAGAGAGTAACAAGCACAAAAAAAGAAGGAGGGAAGATAAGGACGACAGATGTTAGATAGGAAAGAAGAAGCAAACCACACCAGAGCACCCGCCAACCACCCACTAAGTACACTCGAATCTGCTCTAACGGCCAACCTGTATAAGACAATCACTTGCACAAACAGCCACCTCCCTCCTTATTGAGTGACTCTTCCACACTTTAATATAACGACACTGTTTGAGACGCCCACCTGTCTAAGACAGCCACTTTTTCTCCTCACAAATTATGGGCCGACGTCTTTGCCAATTTATTTCCACCGTGCACGCGTATCTGAACCAGTTACAGTACGTGCAGGTCAAACTCCAGGGAAAATTCAATGTCTTGCAGATTTATTGTCGGTTTCGTTTTGCTGATAGGTTGAGTTTTGTTTTTGGGTTGTTGTTTTTTTCTCCAAAACCGGACTACATGTTTCATAATCCAGATAAGAACTGCTGTATATCACAGCTGATATAGATGTGATAATCTGATGATTGTGGCGTTCTATATTTAGCAGCAGGTCAGGGAAGTATAACAAATCAGGTCGGTCCATAGGTCACGTGATCAACGCTGACGCAGATTATGATGAGGCAAATCATCTCTTCACACGTCTTGGAATTTTTCCTCGAGCTAATGGAATAATTTTGTGAACGCCACTTTCTCCCCC